ATCTAGCGTTTGTCTTAAGGCTATCCCTCTAAGCGTCCCTACTGTTTTCCTGCCACACCTACCACCCCGTGGCTGGCACAAGACAAACTTCAGTACACACTTTGCTGGTTCCTACCTCTGTGCCTTTGAACATGCTGTCCACCCCACCTGGAATGTTCTTCTGTCTCTTATCTGCCTGTACCCACTTGGTCCCAGCTGAGACCTTCTCTGACTCCCTAAACACAATTACTTCTTTCCTGCCCGTATTAGCACTGTTCCTGAGCACCAGCACGGCTCTTTTATCCCTGAAGTTATTTCTCTGTATGTCTGTTACTCCCACCATCCTTGGTGTTATCTGTGTTTCTCCTGTGGCCCATCCGTGAAGACTCAATGAAGTGTTTGCTAAAAGACTGAAGAATACAACGTTTTCAACTTCTGTTATGACAGCAACTATAACAGGAGGAATGGAGATTAGACTTCAGGAGGAACTGGAGGAAAAGGGGAACATAGCAGGGCAAATATGCTATTCATCTGTCATCTCTCAGCCTGGAAACTTCCCAGGAGCAAAGTCATCAACCACAAAATGTTAACTGCAAGGAGATTTTCAAGATCCGGTCACCCAACCAAATGCCAGAGAGGACAAGTGCTTTGCCCAAGGGCAGGGCTGGGACTAGATTCCAGGTAGCTCTGAGAAAAGACCGGGCAGATGGCTACTTCACCCCACGAACCTCTTCCTTTCCAATCCATCTTAGCTCCCTAATGGAAGTTCCCTTACAACCTAATGTAATCAAAGGGACCACTTAGGTTCACTCACAGCTCTTAAAGCATCCTTTGGGATCTTGGCTGGCTGGAGCTGCCAAAGCCCCCACGATTGGATAGGGCATCCAACTATCCCCATGTTCCAGATTGGCAAACTGAGGTAGCCAGACTGTGTGTCACACTGCCAGCTAATGGCAGAGGCGGGATTTGACACTAAGTACTGTGCTGTTCCCGTAGAAAGATTTGAAAAGCCAAAAATCCCACCACGCAGAGTCACTATTTACAATAATCATGACGGCTGGCCGCCTAATGCCTGGGGAATCCCCTAACTCCCACCAGTTCCCCTTTAAATCGAGCTTCTTTCCCTCTTGCACAGGATGTCTGACTTAGGAAAGAACCTGTATACCCGCCCTCGCACCCCAGGCAGGCCTGCTGGAGAGACCACCGCAGGAACATAACCTTTGACGGGGAAAACACCCTTCCCTATGCCCCACACTTGACAGTGTCACTGTTGACATCAGCCCTAAGGTTGGAAGTAGCGATCACATTCTGAGATGGGGGTATTGAGGGTCGCGGAGTAGTAATTACTAACCGATGGTCAAAGCCAGTAAGTGGCTAGGCTGAGTCTTGAACCCACGTCTCTCTGGCCCCAGCCTTTCTCCTTCTATTCGGCCTCGCCAGGCTCTCCTACCCGGCAGGAAACCACCTGAAGCCTCTTACAGACTGGGTTACCTCGAGAAAATAACTTAACCTCTCTGAACGCCCCAAGGTCAGAAGCTTTGCTTTCGGGAGGGAAAGCGAGACGCAAACCCAACGCAAACCCGCGGGCGCCGGCGCAGTTCCTTCCCGGAGCCCGGGGCTTTCTAATCCCGAGGGCGCGCCCCCAGCCCCCGGGACCCGCGAAACCAAGCGCCCGGCCGGCTAGCAGAAGCGAAACCTCAACACTCTTCAGCCTCCCCCGCTCGGTTCTGGGAACCAGAGAGCCAGGCTTCGTGGAAACGCGCGCGGTGGCAGCCGCCTCGGGCCCCGGGACCGCCCCGACCACAGCCCGCAGTCCCGGGCCGGGAGGTGCGGGGGCCGGCGCGGTCGGGCCCGAGCAGCAGCGCAACGCGCGCTTCCGCCCCGCTCGGCTCCGGCGGCGGCCGCGGCGGCCCCACAATCCCCTTCTGGCTCCGGGGACGGGCGGGGCGGGGCGGGGCGGGGCGGGCCGAGCGGGCGGAAATAATTTTCTGTTTGGTCCTCTCTGCCCCAGTCCCTTAGCCGCGGGACACGCGAGTCGGGCGAGGATGCCGGAGGCGGGAAGCGGGAGCGGGAACGCGCTGCCCTGGCACGCATAGAGGGGCGGGAGGAGAGCGAGAGAGCAGGGATTGAGTGCCTACTGTGTGCCTTAGCGCTTTCCAAAAGGATTTTCGTTAGATTTTCACTATGACACTTGCCAGAGGGAGTTAACGTCCCATATAAGAAGGACAAGCTGAGCCTGAGAGGTGAAGTCAGTCGCTGAAAACTGCACAGCCCAGATCAGCGTTACACCCCCAAATCAGTGCGCAGTTACGCCAAGGAGAGCAAGACGGACTTGAACCACTTGTTGGCTGAGTCCCACTCTTGCTTTTTTGGGGGGGTGGGGTGGGAGTGGGTAAGCACATAGTAGGTTCTCAGGGAAATATTGGAAGACCGGGAATAAGCTTTACAGTTCAGCCCTCGGAGTGCCCGCCGCGAATCCAGCCCAACCCGCGCAGAACCGGGTTTCTCCAGACCTCGGAAGGGAGCGTTTGTGATGGGCGGACATCAACACAGGCATTTGACCAATGCGTGGTGGCGGAACCCGAGCCCTAGCGGAGGACAGAGTGGGTTCAAGTCCCTGCTCTGCCGTTTTCAGGCTGTGTGACTTAGGGCAAGTCACTTCATCCGCCAGAATCTCAGCTAATTTGTTTATAAAACGGAATATTAACATCCATCCCAAAGGGTTATGGGAAGGATTAAACGAAACAGTTCCTAATACACTTAATAAACGCACAAGTATCATCGCGCGTTCACCTCACAATCTTCGGGCGGTCACCCGCATGGTATGAGAACCAGAGACAAAGCCTCGGCCGCCCCACGTCGCCCACCCCTGGATGCAGGGACCGATGGGCCTTCGAGTGACCCTCATCTTGCGAAACCCGAAACTTCGGCCACTTGGGCCACTTCGGCCGCGGTCGGTCCCGAAAGCAAATATTCAAATATTCCGAAACTGGTGCATGGTTAGGGCTGACATTTTTTGCGTTTGATTTTCTTGAAGTTTTATTCTTGTCAGGAAAAGTAATTCGTTAGAAACTCCTAAGTGACACTTCTCTTCTGTTTCTTAACTTTTCGTATGAGCGAAGTTCACAAAGCCGACCAAGATACCGGCACTTGGCAGTCCTCGTAGGGATCGCGGTCCTCTGGCCCGCTCCGACAAATCTCTAGCTCTCGGCTCCCTCCCCCCGTCACGGAAGCCGCGGAGACAGGCCTCCTCCCCGCCGCGCCCGTTTAGACAGAGCTTCTACGTCCTGGCAGCCCTCCGGGATTCTCTGGTCCCTTGCAGGAGTGAGGGGAGGTGGAGGGCTGCAGTCCGGAGTTTAGCTTCCCCGACCTCCCCAAACGCCAGTGTCGCTGGGATTAGGGAGTAAATCCCTGACGCCAAAGACCAGGTCAAGGACAAGTTCTCCCCCGTCCTACTCCCCCCACTCCTGGGCGGGGATTCACCACCCCCCCCTTCCCGGATGAAAGGTACTAAATAGACGCGAAGGGAGGGGTGGCGGCGGGTCCGGGCCCCTTGATGTTCCGGTTGAACAGGTGCTGGTGAAAAGGAGGCGGTCCCGGCGGAAGAGTCGGTCAGGGGGGCAGCGCGCAGAATGGGGGGGCAGCCTCCTCCCACCCTCAAGTCCCCATGCCGGTCTTCCCCTCTCCTCTCCCTGGGCCCCTCCCCCGCAGGAAGCGTTCCCTGGCGCGAGGTCTTTGAAGTGTCGCTGAAGCCCTCAGGGCTGTCTTCTCCCCTCAGCCACCCCACCTCCCGCTGAGGGAGTGTGACCTTTGGTCCCTGAGGGCGTCCGCCCCCCTTCAGGAAGGAGGGGTCAGATTGCGTCCCCCTGGCCCACTCTGGTCTTGGGATAAAGCCATCGGGCTGACGCCCCTCATTTCTTCCCAGACCCAATTTCAGGGGCTCTAGTCCTTTCGGGGAGCTGTGTGTGAGTGTATGTTCTCTGGTTATGTACGTGCCTAGAGGTCAAGTGTAACTGGGTTGTTTGCGGGCACTTCCGTAAACGTGGGTCTCTAACTGGCGTGGGTCTCTAAGCGTGCCTGCGGGGGGCCGGACCTGGGGTTTATGTCTCTCTGGGAGAGTCAGGTGGTGTGGCTGGATGAGGCTGGGGGTAAGTTTGTGTCTGTGGGTGCCTCGGTGTGCCTTTAAGGGGTCCCAGTCCCTTTGCACGCCCTCCTGAGTCTATAAGCTGGATCGGAAGCTCCCTGAGGGCAGGAATCAATACCTGTTTTGTTCACTGCTCTATCCCAGCGGCTGCGCATAGTAAGCATTCAATAAATATTTGCGTAATGAACAAATGTCTGCATGTGAGAGTGTCTACCGTCCAGAAGGGCCTCTGAAGACAGAGCCCACGAGCGACCACCCAAACAGCACCCCCCAGACACGGAAGGGCGAGCGGCCCACATAGTTCTCGATCGTTCTAGCGCCCCTTCCTCTGATCTCCACCTCTTTGAGTTTCCTCGGAGTTGAAGAGTAGAGAAGACCTGGGCAGAGGGGATGGAGAATTGGAGAACCGGGGCCGAGACGGAAGGGCAAGCGGAAGGAGAGCTCAGGAGTAACAACCGAGGGCCACGGAAAGAAAAAGAAAGGGAAAATACGCGCGGAGCGAGAGAGCGAAAAGCTCCCTACCAAGCCAGGCTTTGTTCCCTGAACCTAAGACTTTACCCGGCGGCTGGCGGCGGGCGGGCCGGGAGCGAGCGGAGGCGCGCGGCC